TTTAATTTTTATTAATCGATAATATTATTAACAGTGTAATTTTTCTAATTACTTTAAGCATTTATACATACATAATAAATCCTATTAATTAACTGATTAAACGATATTAAAATTATTATTATTTCAGATTAATTACTATACGGGAGTAGATGGTATCACTCTCTCTTTGAAAATGCCAAGTTGTACAGAAATTTGCCCGATTAAAACGTTTTTGTATTCGATAATGGATCTATTACCGCAAAACGCAGAACGATTATGTAACTGGAAAAAGATTGATCTTCCTATAATACCAGATAATGCTATTTATAGCAGATCTGTATCGCATACATTGAAAAGTATTACATTTACGTTGTTATTAGTTATTACTTTATTAGTAATTAATTTGTATTAATCAATTCAGATTCGTTGCAAGTATTCGAATAATTTTAAAAAACTCTTTAAAACATCTCTCTCTCTCTCTCTCTCTCTCTCTCTCTCTCTCTCTCTCTCTCTCTCTCTCTCTCTCTCTCTCTCTCTCTCTCTCTCTCTCTCTCTCTCTCTCTCTCTCTCTCTCTCTCTCTCTCTCTCTCTCTCTCTCTCTCTCTCTCTCTCTCTCTCTCTCTCTCTCTCTCTCTCTCTCTCTCTCTCTCTCTCTCTCTCTCTCTCTCTCTCTCTCTCTCTCTCTCTCTCTCTCTCTCTCTCTCTCTCTCTCTCTCTCTCTCTCTCTCTCTCTCTCTCTCTCTCTCTCTCTCTCTCTCTCTCTCTCTCTCTCTCTCTCTCTCTCTCTCTCTCTCTCTCTCTCTCTCTCTCTCTCTCTCTCTCTCTCTCTCTCTCTCTCTTTCTGTAACCTCTTTAATCTCTTGCTCTCAACATTGAAATCTCAATATCTTTAATAACAGTTTATAGTAATATAGTCATTGTATAGGTAATTGGAATATATAAAATATGATATATTGAGTACGTAGATATTATAATTTACAAATAGTTGTGAAATTTTAATGAAAATTGTATAAATCAAATAAAGAACATACTTAATGCTTTAATATTTAAAATGTATTTACTATATACAAAATATTATAAGACTTTTATATACATATAGAATATGATATTTAGTACCTGGTATATATCTCAATATACTAAAATTACGTTTAAAATGGTGCTCTTAAAACGAAATCATTTATTCATACGTCAATAAATTGACTAATTTTTGCGCTTTTTTTGCAAATTGAACAAAATTTTCCATAGCAATTACTGCAAAATCATCCAAAATCATTAACCACCTTCGTTCCCTTGTCTGTATACTATCCTTTACTATTATACCTTCGAAATTCAGTTGCTTTTTCCATAAATCGACGACAGGTGGTATTACTTCTTCTTTTTCAAGTTGATTATTTTCTTTATTACAGAAAACTGCTCGATATTTTTGTAAGCAAAAATTTAAAGTATAAAAGATAATATGTAATTGATTTATTACACTATGTACATCGGCCTTTTTGTTATTTATCAGAGAGATTAAAATATTTCCGTAAGATTTTAGTTTTGCAGTTAAGTAATTTATTATTTCGACACAAACTTTCATAGAACTGCATAATTGTAAAATAATGGAGATCTGATGAGTCAGTATTGTAACCTAAATAAAAAAAACATGACATTAAATAAGAGAATAATTTCGTGTCTAAATATTACCATATAAACATTTAAAAAATTTTTAGAAATATCTCCAATTCTAACAAAGTGTAAAGATGTGTTTTGTATTTTAAAACAATGCATTTTTTAAAAGCTACTATCATAATTTCCTTGTATTATGACTAATAACTTTACCCATTTATTATGGCTATAACTTTTATGTTCAACTTTTACTTCTCCTCTTATCTCTAACGACAAGGAATTGACATATTCTATTCCTTAAATGTCTTTGCATATATTATACTTACAAGTATATCTAACATGTATTATGCAATACGCGCTATAGCATTCAATTTAACATTAGCAATTGCGCATTAAAAATTATTATTAAAAGTTAATAAATATAGCTAATTTTATGTATTGTATCCATAATAGAAATTATATATATTATAATTTACCTTGTTAAACTCACTAGTTCCTATACTCTTATCCAGGATATCAGTCACTACCTGCACAATTTCTTGCGTATACTCATTAGTTTTATTTTCAGCTTCAGAAACGTCACAGTAATCCAATATCGCGTTTACAGCCTGTTCTTCTAAAGTATCTTTCCAACATCTTTTTCTCATATATTGTTTCGCTATTCTCTCATTTTGGAGAACCATAAGAATCGCCTTTATCGACTTAAAAGCAATGTCGTCCACATTTAGAGTATCAAGCGTAAATTTCAACCATTTCGAAGAAATTTTCTTCTCTTCTTTTTTGGTAGCCTTAGATACAGTCGTTTCATGGACAGATTTTAATTTCTTTCTCTTGCTGCTACTTCTTTCGTATTCTGCATCTTCGATCAAATTTTTATATCTTTGTCTATTTTGCACGCACAATTCTTCACCGTCATCGTTTGTGTTTTTATCGTTTTCTTGTTGCGAACAAGATAAATTTTGTTTGGAAGTCCAATTTTTCTGTGTCATATCTATGGTAAGAGACTCCAGATCATGCGTGTAATTCACGATATCTTTTTTTTCATAAGGAGTAATATTAGCAATTTTTTGACTAGGCGAGATACTAATATCTTCATTATAAATGCAATTCGTCGTTGGTAACCATTCTGCGCTTAATTGATAAGTATCGTAAGCGCTGTCTTCTTGAAGCGAGCATGCGTTATTAATCCGATTCGGTGAAATTATAGGACTTTCATTGAAAAAATTCGAATCACAAGTTTGTGTCAATGGTTTCACTATCTGCTTATTCGATTTTGAAATTAATTGTTCTCTTAACTGACTACAATTCTGTTTATATGATGAATAATTTTTGTTAGATAAAATAATGTCTGAAAGATCGTTATCGTCTGAAGCAACAGTTAGATCATCTCTCGTTCCGAATAAAGTTCTCGTTAAAACATCGCTGTCCTCGGAAAATAATTCTGCCGATTTTTCCTTGATAAAATCGCTTTCTTCGAGTAATGTTTTATCTTTCTCGTTTCGTACTATGTTATTAGTATTTTGACTCTCCAGAGAATCTTTAATTAGGTCAGAAACAGAAGAGCACTCTTCGTCTGAATCTTGAATGATATAATTTTTCATAGTAATATCTTGATGCATGCAAGGTTGTACATTGAAGAATCTATCAAGACTTTGAGAAGAAGTAAAAACGGAGGGGCTGACTCCTTTTTCGGTGAAAATTCCAATTTCTTGATTTATTTGTTGGTGATAAGGTTGCAATGTGTTATGTTTTTCATTGTGTACATCACGTGACGGATCAGTATTACTAATATACTCTGAATCAATGTCGAAATTCGTATCATTCTGTTGATCATCATTTAATGAATTGCTCAAATTTTTATAATCGTCCTCTTCAATATCAGACATTAAGTTTTGACTATAAAGATTAAAATCTTTTCCTAGAAAAAATGTAGTATACCTTTAAATAAGAATTTTATTTTTATTATTTTACTACAACATATTAACTATCTGTTTGAAGATACAAATTCACATGAAGTTATTTGAAACAACTACTTAAATAATCTGTAATAAATTCCAATTGAAATTTGACTACTTCGAACTAAATAATGAAATAAATGAAATAATTTAATATATTAAAAAAGATATCTGTTAAAAATATTAAATATCGAGTTCTTGTATCATTACCTGTGTTCTTCCATTGTTTATAAAATACCGAATGAAATTGCTCGACGGAAATAGTTTTCATGAACATTGTGGCTGACTTTAACCAGACCATACTTTGCACAAAATTTAAATCATCCACACATTCTCCCGTATAATCCGATATCTTCTCAGAAGTTTGAATAAGATCTCGAGGAATATTCAACAAATGTCTACACCGACAACAGCTTGTATTATTACTATCACTAAATTTTTTTAATTCCCTTCCATTCATTTCTATTAAAAGATCCTCGACGATAGAAGAATACAATTTTCCATCTGTTTCTGATAAACTACTTGTAAAATTTCCTGTGCATCAATAATTATTTATAAAAAAGTTTATTAATATTTTATTAATTGCGTTGAACATAATTATTCAATAATTATTATTAGGTAATCATCAAATTTATTAGCATAAAGATGAATTATATTAAATAATTATTGAATAAAGATAACATTTATCAAACAACCTAATTCGCATGAGTTACGGTACGAATATTTCGCATATGCACATTGTAATTCAGAAATAACGTTGTTCCGGCTTTCAACATGTAGTTTCAATCGTTCATTTTTATTAATATCGTTTTCCATCTTGGACAGAATGATATGTAGAATTATAAAGTAATAACAGGAATTTTAAAAGTACACCATTATAAACTATATATTGTGTCATGTTTACTGATATATTTTTTAAACAATATATATACTTTACTAGACAGCATTTTGTAATGTTTCAATTTTCTATTCAACTCAGGTTGATGCGCCCGTTAATTGACTTAAAAACAGTACTGCCAATCTCACCACAAATCATACCTAGATCATACGCTCTGCTTTCCATTGTCATGCATTTCCATGCAATGTACGTAAGTACACATTACGCACGTTTTTCCCATCGAAAGAACCGGAAGAAGAAACATGCATATAGTTTGGCCGTTTGATCGCTAGGGACGGTAATTCGTGGAGCATACTTTTGACTCAATTTCTTCTATGCTCATCGGCGATGTCCTCTAGTGTATACAGTTCATGTGTTCCAATTCTTTGAAATGAGGATAACATCTAAATTAGAATTCATCCTAATAGTTTCGTAACACCGCGATTATAGTAGATATGCATAAAGATAAAAAAACATTAATGAATGCATAATAATTAAATATTTTTTAATATAATATATATATTAATATATATACAAATACATTACAAACATTAATTCGTTCAACATTTCAGAATTGTAAATTTGTAAACGACCTTTTAAGATGCAGTTTCACGTGCTTCCGGTTTATCGATCGAACCGGTAAGAACATAGTAGTTTGGATTTAACAAACGGGAGCAAAGTGGTTTTTGATTTTGCTATTATTACATTGAAGAAACACTTAATACTTTACTGTAAATATGAATTCACTTACATCTGAATCCCTGACTGATAAAGAAAAGAGTGATCTTATGCAACAAATTAAACAAGAAGTTGCCGTTGCAAATGCACAAGAAATGCTTTCGGTACGATTGTAGAAATACATTTGCAAATTTAAAATGAATGAATAACATATATCACCTGGTTTCGTATTTTCAGAAAATGTCAGAAAAATGCTTTAAAAAATGCGTGATTAGGCCCGGTACTTCTCTGGATAATACCGAACAGGTAACCTCTTTTGTTTGTAGAACGTAACCTTAGTATAAAATGTAACCTATCGTGTTCGAAGCCTTAAAAGTATAAAATAAATTTAAATGTAATATTTTTTATATCACTATTAAGTAAATATTATTTAAGCAGACGTAGAAAAGATATAGCAAATATTTTATTAAATACGAATAATAAAAAAGCTATTTAATGATGTTATATAAATATTGTGAATATTTATATAAACAATATGTGGAAATTATATTAAATATATTGAATTATACTATATATAAATGTAAACAAAGATAAAATATAAGAATAAAAATTGTTATAAGACCTCATAGAATATAAAATATATTAAAATATATTTGATATAAGTGCACATTTTCATTAATATTAATATAACAATGTAAGTAATTTTAATTTACTTACAGAAATGTGTAGCAATGTGTATGGATCGATATATGGATGCATTTCATCTTGTATCAAAAACGTACAGTGCTCGAATACAGAGAGAGCATGACAGAATGTAACAGTACAAATTGTTAAATAAATTGTTTCTGGTTGTACATTGTGTAATTGTATACCAACTATTTTCCAAATATTGTTTAGGAAATATTATAACTGTAATTATTATGTATATTTATTAGCAAATCTATGTCATTTATAAATATTGAATAATTTTGTATATAATGTTATTACTTCTGATTAAGTTTCAAGACAGAATAGATTTTTACATTTGTAACATTTTAAAAGTTAGAAACCCAATTTTAATATTACACAGTGACATTACACTGCCACCTGTATTTCCAAAGCGTTAACAAATAAATAGAGATGATTAAATCTATAATTTGCATCTCACTTATTTAATGTACTTTATTCCCATCTTTCGTATATCTGTTAATATATCTGTAGATAATCTCTCACAGAATTACAGAAAAATTAATAAATACTTAAAAATATAAAATTTTGTTAAATAAGTTTGATGAAGTATAAGCTAGGATTGATTATAAGGTGTAAAATACACAGCAATTGCAAAAGAGAAAAATCTTTATAAAATAAATAACATATACATGAATATTGTTACATCGTACTTCAAAATCATAAATAAGTAACTTAGGTATTTTGTAAATCCCGCAATTCCATAGTATGTATTTGCATTGTTTCTTATTCATACACACTAAAAGGCACAATATAGCTACCAATACTTCAACGTGGTTACAAAAATAAATCTCTAGAACTGTATGAAAAAATATTGTGAGTGGTTTATTAATACTTCATCTGTTCAATTTGATAATATAAATTAGTAAATAACAATAATTACAACTATTTCATATCAATGTTTGCAAAATCTATAATTAATTTGCATACCAGTGCATTATATGCCATTATCATATATACAGATCAATACAGACAGTTTGTAACATAACAAATCGATGTTATTAGTTATACATATCTTTTTGTTATCAAAAAACAGCTGCAAAGATATGTGTATATAGGTGTAGATATATATGTGTATAAAAAAGAAATTCATTAATATTTCTTCTAATTTTAAAAAATATATCTTTTCAACCTCTTTTATACTGTACTTACTTATATGTTTGGTATAGAAAATAAAAGATTATGTATTCATGTTATGAATTTTCCAAAGGGAAAAAGAAAGAAGTATTTATATACAGAGTGAACCAATGAAAATTGTTATCTGAAATATCCTGGTGTCCGTTGATTTGATTAAAAAGTGTTTCATATGAAATACATTGCCTTTGAGGGGGTATAAGGAAGTTAAAATACATTAATTGGATCCTTTGACTCTACTATGCATTTCATATGAGATATCCTTTAATAATAATGAGGCATTTCAGGTAAGAACTCTTATTAATTCATCCTATATATATATATTTATATATATATAACAAGACTTCCATATATACCAAAACGCATATGAAATGTGAGATTTCATATTAATCAGCTTAGGATTAATTGAAATCATTTCCAAAACTACATAAATATAAAAATGTTTGTGTACCCTGCAATAGAAATGCTTACACAAAAACACTTTCTAGTTTCATCAGAATGTGAAATAAAATTTGTCGATATACTGTGATAAGTTGTGAAACATTTCTTAAATTACTCTCTCTCTTCTTCTCTCTTATAATTTATGGTGAAAAATACTTATGTAAATTTCTTTACTAATGCTAACAATACAACAAAAGTGCAATAATCTTAATAACAATGGAATGTATCTATATTTTACATTCTATAAAGTGTAGGAATGTTCAGTATCATCCTGAAATTGTTTTTATAAAATTATATGTTATATCAATATTAAAATGTAACCACGTTGATTGGTCAGGAACACACCTGCTTTAATATATACATAGAAATAAAAGCTGATTCAAACTAAGGGATTTCATTATACTTAATACTGTAAAAGTAAAGATTTTACTTCATTCAAATGATTTATATGATTAATGGTATAATTTCTAAATAAACAACTTATTTTTTAATATGTGTTATAAAAAAAAGATGAAAAATAAAATATGTTATAACAGTATTTTGTTTTACTAAAAATAATATGTTTATTTATGTGTATATCTTAGATATCTTTATAATAAGAACAGCAATTTTCTAGTTATGTAGAACTAGAGTTATGTGGTATGTAGAATAAATTAATGACATAATTATAATATTATTATAAATAAACTCTTGTTATACAATTAAAATTCTAAGGCGTATTAATCAACTATGAAATCTCTTTGTTTGAATCATTTACAATATTTACTATTGATGACATTACAGTAATTGTGTGCTACTCAAAGTTTTGTGAAGGAAGCAGGCTGTACAAACAGATTTTGATTTGTCAAGCATCCAGTTGATCCATTATGAATTGTACTTAGTTATTGCATCTTATTTGGGGCATAGTATATTTATAACAATATGTTTATCAAGGTATTGGATTGCCCAAAAATTGAATTACTTAGTCTAAAGCTCTCATTAGTTATTTAAATATTACGATTCATGGATGCAAGAAAACATATAAGCACCTAATCTTTCATTGAATATCAACTTCAACTTTTATAAATACTTTTCGTTTTATGCATTTAGCACCATTATCTTTGAAGAAAAATAATTTTATATATTTTTTAGGCAATCCATTTTTAGACGGATGATTTACTGATATTGCTATCAATACTATACCAGTAACTTTAGTTAAATGAGGTAATGATACTTCAGTCATAAAATCAGACACAGGAATTATTTTGATAAACATAACAAAATTGCTACAAAATTTTTTCAGAAAGATATAACTAAGTATTCAACAACCATTAATGTAACTGATTACTTTTCACTTTTTTAAGATATTTTAACATTGAGATAATTGGCTTTATAAGTAATAATACTAGACATATTTACAGAATAACGTAGAAGGCAGTTTGTCTGAAAGCTTACAAGCAAGAGTTTTAATATTACTCTTCTAATTTAGTTAATAATGTATCATAACTTAAAAAGATGATTTAATAGTATATTCACTTTAATTAAATAGTGTTTCTTTGTTTTTAATATCAACTTAATTTTTGAATTTTTAAGTAGCTACTTCTTATTACATTATAAAATTATAAATATGTTTACAACGTGTATTTTATAAAAAATTTTTAATGGAACTTTTATATGATTCTTATTTTTAATATTCTCAATTACTAAAAATATAATTTAACACTTTATTACAATAATAGCAGAGAGTAATGGCAGTTTATCAGTTTATAACATCTCATCTTTTTTAATAAAATTTGTGTAATATTTTTATAAAAAGTTGAGTTTTCTCATGTCATAACCAATATAATATCCGTAGAATATTTTTTGTTTAAAAATTATTTTTCTTAAATACTGTTAAAATGAAATTCATGATTTATAAAAATACATTTTTGACAAAAAGTTCTTACAAAGTAGTGAAAATATAACATTTATAAATATATATTCAGACATTTCCCTTCTACGTTTTTTTGTAGGGAACTTATAAGTATTGAGCCACAAACGGCAGTGCCATGTTAGAAACCAAAATAATTTTGCAAATTCGTGAATTCATAGCAATTTGCATTAATATACTTGATGCCCTGACATAGGAGGATATTGAATATCAATGCTCTAAATGAAATAACATTTTAGTTCTTACAGTAATTCACTAGTGCAATTTATGAATTACAGTTCCTTTGCACAATTTGCTGTAATACCCGTTGAAAAATTTGACATGTTTTTATCCATGTTTATATCTTCAAGCTAAAATGGAATTATACATGCAATACTCAAAAAAAATGTATATATATATGTAAAACCATCTTTATATGGAAAATTATGTATCAAAAATTGCATCTAAATTCATATAAAATTTACTTACACATGATGTGCTGCTTAGTATATCATTTATATCTTCAATTTCTTCACTTATGTCCTCGCTATTAGTACTGTGAATTTTATCTTGTTTTTTCGTTTGTAATTTTATTGGACTATTTGATTTTTCAGGATCCTTCGAAGGACTTTGATCATAAGCACTACCAGACGCAGATGAAACAAAATCTTCTTCATAATTATCTATACCATCAGTTCCTGAAAATATTATGTTTATGATACAAAGATTATGAGAAATATGTTCCAAAGATATGCAACATACCAAGCCCAATATCCATTAATTCCTTCAAATCATTAATATTAGTTTTTTTACTATTTAATGGTGGGAGATCGCTAAGTATAGAATGTGATTTTTTATCTAAAGATGGTAAATCTTGTAAAAAGGTATCAGTATTACGTATATCATTAATATTTTCTCTTTTTCCGTCAACAATAATTTCTTCGAAGTATACAGTTTTTCCAAAACTGTTTCCAGTATTAACTGGTTTTCTGTTTTGTATATTATTTACTATTTGTAATTCCAAACTATTTATATTATTTTGCTTACTTATATCTTCATTTTGATTTGTTTGCATTTCAGTAACTATAGATTCATCAAACTTAATTAAAGGCTCGGTTTTATTTAGTAAACTTGTTTGAATGAGTGTATCTATCTCAGTCTCCTTTGTTGTATGATTCATCACTGTACTTGTGCCATTTGGACTTGTAGGGAGTGCATCAAAATTCATACTATTGTTCCCTTTGCTATCAATTCCATCGTTCTTTTCATTGTATTCAGAAGTTGTACTATTCCTGAGAGAATCATTTTGCATCTCACACTTTAAATCATCTATTGAAACATGAACAGATGTTTCTTTATTTCTCTTATCAGTTATTGTCACATTTATTGGAAGTTTTGGACTTTGCTGTGAAATGCTTTCTAATTTATCCGATACATCATTATCATTTGACAATGATGTAGTTTCATTATTTAATACTTTTGGAATGGAAATTTCAAATGTGGCATTAGCAATATTTGTTGTAGTTTCAGTTGTACTAAATTTGCTGTCAGTTTCATTCTATAAAAATATTCGTAATTGTAACAGTTTTATTTCTGGGTAATTAATTTTTGAAAATATTTATAACATTTTATCTTTTATATATTTATAATATTTTATCTTACAATCTTAACCTACATACCTTCTGTGTGTTATTAAAGGCACTGTTCATGCTATTTTTTAAAATTTCTCCAAGCAATGGCTCATTGGATTCAATACCTAATTCTTCACATAATTTATTTCTTCCAACATAATTATATTCTTTTCCAAAATAAGTTTCTGGATCATATACAGATATTGTATAATCAAGACCAAAATACTCTAGGAACTCCCTAACCAAGGAAAACAATAATTTTCCCTCTGAATTAGCCAGGTACTGTTTTACAGTTTTATTGAGAAGTGGTTCAGGGTTCTGAAATATTTAATTTACATGATGAAAACTATAATTATAACATTGTCTGATGTTGTTATTTACTTTAATATATATCAAATGTATATTTGCTATTTATAAATCTATATAGGAATGAACATTTATTTAAATAATATAAAAATAAACTATGACAAACTATGCATACACACAGATGCTGTAGTGCTGGAGCAACAAAATACATTCTTCTATCTACTGTTACTGATGGACATCAAAATTATGATCAAAATTAATTAATCCAAAATAATTTTGTTGACTTTGACAAATATTATATAATTTTGAAATTTAATTGCAACTCTTATTAATTCAAGTTTGTTATTTACTTTTGTTATTTTGTACATTTTATTATTACCAGCTATGATTTAAAATGATGTAAAAGAACAACTTTTGTGCATGAATATATAAAAAAAATTGTTTGCATTTATCTACTGTAGAACATACCATTACAGATTCTTGTTCTTCTAGAGCTAAGAAAACACTTGCCCTGAGTTCCGCCTATAAACATTATAAAAAATTGTTAAATCAATACTACGACAAAAAATATAATTTTGATGGGAGAAAGTTCTTTGATGTGATCTACATAACCTATAAAAAAAATATAGTTCTTAAAAAAATTTTTATCATACCCGGACTTTTGCAAGAACACCATTGTTTTCAAGTGTTTGTACCACCAAATCTCGTAATTCTGTATCCTCCTCCATGGAAATGTTTCCGTCTATCATGATTATAAATAAAAATTACTCTCACAAACACTCAAGAAATGTAAATATTTACGCTTTCCATCGCGTGTCTTCTTTTCACATCTGTTTACCTAGAGATTATATTTTTCTGTCTAGGGAGTTTAAATTCAGAAACTGAAAAAAATTTTATTTCTATCTGATTATTATTATGACCATATATTGATTGCTACTTTATATATTAGTATATATAAAACAAAAGTAGAGCATATTTTATAGTAGACATTGTAAAATAACTAATATGTAGTAAATTGTAAACTAAATTATCAAATTTTATTATTTTATTCGAATATGTTACAAATGTATCAGTATTACCAATATCTTTCACTTCCTAATTAAAAGAAATTAAATTTATATAAAAATTTTCTTTACAATACTGAAAATTACTTGATTAGGTAGAAAAATATTTTCATTAAATATTCGATAATATTCGTATACAAGAAACATTAAAAATTGTATTTAATATACCGGAAGTAACATAAGCTCAAAAAAATATATATGAAATTTGAAAATAACGAATAATCGTAAATTTAAATTTCTTTTTACATTGAGTTAAGTTAGTAATACCAGGTAACATAGAACGCTAAAATTTTATATGTGTACAATTTCTTTATTACACAGTTTTATTGTAACATTTTATCAAAATCGAAATTTGAATAACAGTAAAATTCATTTGCAAGATTATTTCGATGTTGAGGTACAAAGTTGCAAATTTTAACATTCAATAATCTCTCTGCCAAATCGCTCATAATAGCACCTGCAATGTAAGAATAAAAGTAATTAAGAACTAAAAAATTGATTATTGATTATGAAAAGTACCTGTACAAAGTACAATATCCTTTTTGGCTAAGAATTTTATTGTAAGGGCAGTTTTTGTTAAACATTCATCAGAAAGAAATGGTGGATCAGCTATCACTAAATCATAAAAGTTTGACATATCTCCAGGTATATTTAAAGGAAATTTATAATTGTATGGTACAAAATCTGAACCATATGCTTTAAAACGTTCATCATATTCAAAAAGGGTGACTGTAAATAAATAATTAATATTAATAATAACAATAACATATTTGATATTACATAAATCATGAAATTACAAATAACATATTTTCAAACCTTTTCGTTCACCAGAAGTTTTTTTCAGTTTACTATAAAGTGTAGGGCATGATATTAATGCAATTTTTCCATCAGACTCTGTACACTGTATAGCACCTTTTACAAGAGTATCTGTTGTTTTGTCATCATACCAAAACTGACTTAATTGCTAAAATTCAAATTATTAAATCATTAAACATCTTAATCGTAAAATATAAAATTAATTAATAAACTATTTCACAAATTACAAATTTACAAATAAATATAAATTGTTAAGAAGGACTACTAATCTATTTAGTAAAAATTAACTTACCCAATTCTCATCAAAAGAGACATCTAAATGTTGATTTTCTAAAGTATGTTTTAACTGATTTTCTCTTTCTTCCTTTTCTTTAAGAAACTCTTTTAAGGCAGCAAGTGTCGTAGGACATAACTGTAAATCATCATCATCGCTTTCATTCATTTTTAACTACTTTTTGTATATGTGTATGTACATATATGTATTTTATTTATAAATAATAATTTAAAATGTCACATTTTGTGTATCTGTTGAAAAGCAATTAGTTTTAATTGTACACAAATATATGTGTAACATAACCAAATATTAACTTTTAATTAATTAAAACATGTGTTAAATTTGTATTATTTTTAAAATAATAAATATCAGTTATATAAAATTTTTCAATGAAGAATACTATCAATTTGACACTTAAGATAATATAGGTATCTTATCGAAAGTAAAACATATTGTACCTATCTATTAAAAATTTAGTAATTTTATGATAGTTGATTAGGATATTTCTGCAAAATAAATTTTATATTTTTAAAGTTTGTCAATTTATTAATTTATTGATTTCATTATTTAATATTAAAGTAATTTAATATAATCCTTATATAAAATTTGTATATATATAAATTTTTTATCATATTTTTTAATTAATAAAATGTAAAAATCTTAAATGTAATTGATTGGTTGTAAAACATAAGCATAACGATAAATATACGAGATTTAATATGTAGAAAGATATAATAATTTCCTTGGAAAAGATTATATTTCTTATCACATTATTGCTTTAAAATCCACGTATTTACCAAGTAATTTTACCAAGTATCTTGTACACATATGTCTTAATTCCCGGCTTCAAAATCACACTAAATTACGTATTGAAGAAAAGAAGAAAATATGATGATGGATTCACAAGACGACGTAAAATTATTTCAGTCTATTGGTTTAAGTGAACAAAAAGCTAAAGAAACTCTAAAAAATAAACAAGTTTCCAATAATTTGAAACTTGCTATAATAGAGGTTAGTAAGTTATACATACAAGATATCTTTTTAATTACGTTTTTTATTATTTAGTGATGTAATCTTATAAGTTTGAATTATATATTATAAACCTTTTCACTTGTTTATATTTGAACAAAATGTAAGCATTATTGCTACATATGGTATATCTTTGTAATATCTGATTATACCATGTGTTATTTTTTGTAGGCTAATAAGTATGGAATTATTACATCAGAAATTGGAATTTTGTTATATCAACTTGCTTCGAAAATTAAGAATCAGATTGCAAATAAATTGTCATTTCTTGCTAAATACATAGCTGAAAAGAAATTAGATACAACTCAAAGATTAGATGCTGGGTTAGATTATTTACTTAATCATATAGAAGGATATGTCAATGTACCTGCCTTTGAGAAAGAATGTGGTATAGGTATTGTTATATCTCCAGAAGAAATAGAACGTGAAGTTGAGAAAGTAATAAGCACACATAAAGTGGAAATAATAGAGAAAAGGTATATATGTTATATTTTTAACATTAATATTGAAAATTTAGCATTCATATCGTTAAGAATTTTATGAGTTTTACAAAACAAAATGTTTTTACAGGTACCATTTTAATATTGGTCCATTAATGCAACATGTACGTAATACTCTAAAATGGGCTGATGGAAAAGCAGTGAAAAATGAATTTGATGTTCAAATGCTTGATTTGTTAGGTCCAAAATGTGACTCTGATCTTGTACCACTATCTAAACCAGCAAAGCAAGCAAAAGCACAAAAATCAGGAAAAGAAAAAGGTAAATCAAATGGTATTAATGCAAATAATATGTTCATCTATATGTAATTTATGTATTATAATTCATTATTTAAAAGCTTCCTAACTGTTATTTAGTGGAACCAAAAGGTGTGACAGCAACAAATGAGAAAACAGATGCTCAGACAATAAGTGAATTAATGAAAACTAAAGTTCATTTTCATAAACCAGGCGAAAATTATAAAACTGAAGGATATATTATAACACCAAATACACACAAATTACTTCAAGAACATTTAAAAATAACAGATGGCAAAGTAATAACTAGATTTCCACCAGAACCTAATGGAATTCTACATATTGGTCATGCAAAAGCAATTAATATTAATTTTGGGTATGCTGTATCATATTATAGATATGATTCTTAATTTCTGTAATATAAATTATATTTCAAGTATAATTCCATTGCAGGTATGCAGCAGCCCATGATGGAATATGTTATCTACGTTATGATGATACAAATCCTGAAAAAGAAGAAGAGAAATTTTTTATTGGTATTCGTGAAATGGTAGAATGGCTTGGGTATAAACCAGCTAAAATTACTCATTCTTCTGATTACTTTCAACAGTTGTATGAATGGGCTATAGTTCTCATTGAAAAGGATTTAGCATATGTTTGTCATCAGTCTAGTGAAGAAATAAAAGGTTTCAATCCACCTCCAAGTCCCTGGCGTGATAGACCTATTTCAGAGAGTTTACAATTATTTCATGTAATAATTATTTATTTCAGATAAATTATTGTAGCTTAAAATTTTTGATTATTTAAATGTTTTTAATGGGTTTAAATGTTTTATGGGTATGTACAAAATTTTAAGTTATATCATAAAATTTCTTGATTAACTCTATAATTTTCTATATAGGATATGAAGGATGGGTTGCTTGAGGAAGGGGAAGCTACATTAAGAATGAAAGTAACATTAGAAGAAGGGAAACAAGATCCAGTTGCATATAGAATAAAATATGTTCCTCATCATAGGACAGGAGATAAATGGTGTATTTATCCAACTTATGATTACACACATTGCTTATGTGACAGCATAGAAAATATAACTCATTCTCTTTGCACCAAAGAATTTCAGTCAAGAAGATCATCTTATTATTGGCTTTGTAATGCTTTAGATATTTACTGTCCTGTGCAGTGGGAGTATGGTAGATTAAATGTATGCTATACAGTTGTTTCTAAAAGAAAAATCAGTAAGTTGATTGATGAAGGTATTGTATCTGATTGGGATGACCCAAGGTATGTTTTAATGTAAAAAGTCATTACATTAATACATTTGAAAATATAAATTTTTGATGCTTATTGTACATATATTTTTTGTAGATTATTTACATTAACAGCTCTTCGCAGACGTGGTTTTCCACCTGATGCTATAAATAATTTTTGTGCACAAATGGGTGTGACTGGTGCTCAAGTAATTGTTGATCCAGCTGTTTTAGAGGCATCTGTGAGAGATTTTTTAAATGTAACTGCAAGTCGACATATGGCAGTTCTAGAACCATTAAAAGTAACCATTAGCAATTTTCCTCATGAAAATTCTATAAAACTAACAGTTCCTAACTTTCCTAATGAACCAGATAAAGGACAACATGAGATTGTCTTTGATGAAATTGTATATATTGAGGCATCTGATTTCAAAGAGGTATATAATGCTATTTCAGTTCAAATATATGACAGAAAATATTTGTTATCATTCTATTAAAGATGCCATTACGCATTTATAGAAAGCAGAAAAAGATTTTAGACGTTTAACCCAAAATCAATCTGTTGGTTTAAAGCATGTAGGGATAGTATTAACGATCAAAAAAATTGAAAAAGATAACATGGGTAATATCGTGAATTTGATTGTTACACAAGAATCCATATCTGAAACTAACAAGCCTAAAGCTTTTATACACTGGGTATCAAATCCTATATTAGCATCCATTAGATTATATGAACGTTTGTAAGTATTGAGTTAATGTAATAATTTATTATTATTGATCTAATAGTTACAATGTTCTATTTGTTCATAATACAATTTTCAGATTTAAACACAAAAATCCTGAAGATTCTAATGAAGTACCAAACGGTTTCTTGAGTGATATTAATCCACAGAGTAAGAAAGAAATCGTTGGATATATTGATGCAAGTTTGGCACGTTCAGCGAAAGTTTTTGAAAAATTTCAATTTGAACGTATTGGCTTTTTCTCTGTAGATCCGGATACAACATCAGAAAAAGTAATTATAACTGTGGTATCTAAATTTAAATATTACTATTCTTACTAATTTCATTCGCTTTTTACAGCTCGTTTTTAACAGAACGGTAACGTTAAAGGAAGATGCTGGGAAAGTGTAAATGAAATGAAATAAAACATGCATTCAAACATTATGTATGAATAATTGAGTGTTATATAATTTACCATGCTTTATAATGTTTTGTATAATATTTATAAATAACAATTATGTTTAAGATAATATGTATTTTTTTATAGTTTTAGAGTTTTACAGTTTAAAATCATTACTAGATAATTAGTGGACAATATAAATAGGTATTATTTAATTCATCATACAAGATTCGTATGTAGGAATCATATATTTAATATTTATAAAAGCATCTTCACCTCCATATATTTCAAGTAATTCAAGAGTTTCTTGTATTATATCTGCGACGTTTTCACCCTTTTGTTGTGAGTAATCGATACCTTCTCCAAGATTCACTGGAATGTCAAATTTAATTTTTATCATTTTTATATAAAATTATAAATATAGATTAAAATCTTACCATTTCTATCTTTTAATAAATTAAGCACTGGTAAAATTTGTCTAAAATACGGTACTAAAGCTTCTCCAACACAATCTGTTGAACGTACAAGATTTTGAAGAGCTCTCAGTGTTGTACACATAATTTCTGGCATTTTTGTATTTAAGGCTTCTACAATAAACAAGAATTTATAAAATCGTATAAACATAATTTTATACAGTTTGCAAAATCTTTTATTAGAATAAAAAGAAAAATCACTTTTAATAGGAATTATTAATTGTGGCACAACAGGTAAAATTTTAGGACCACCGTGTTCTAACATGTCAGATATTCCCTGTTCTACTATAAACTTAATCGGTTGTTCAGTTTCTGTTAACCCATCAAAAAATAACGGTAAATAATGATGAAAATCTAAATCCTCGATGTTAACTTTCCAGCTAAGTTTTGTCCCATATTTATCCTTTTCCAATGCAACTGGAAATACGCCCCATTCATAGAATTTTCGAAAAGTTGATGGTTTAGGTGGTTGAGGTTTATACAATTCATATCGAGGAGGTTTTTTAACTACAGTGTTTTCCTAAATATATTATATATAAGTATCAGTTCACATAAATATAACGTTTAGAATATTGAAGTGTTACCTGTAAAGCTTGAATGGTGAAAGCAGGAACAACTCTGGGTTTTCTCTTTTTATATCGTGGTAGGTCTTTTCGAATTTCATCCCAAAATTTTGTTTCATTTACCATTCCGATATTCTTTTCTCGCGTTTAATCAAAAGATGATTTGATAAATGAAATGTTGTAGAATATCTTATACAATTTTATTCATGAAGAAAATATTAAAATTCTAAATACGTCACCGTAACTAATATCATCGATTCATCCTAGATATATTGCGTTATGGTAATTTAATGTACAACAAATATGGATCAAACATGTTTCTTAGCAACTATACTTACATATGTTACATACAACTATACATATGTATATCTATATTTAAAAGCACATTTTTATTTTAAACATAAGTTCTAAATGAAACAAATTACTAAATATAAAAAATGTACGAGTTCTATTAATATACATATTTTTATTTATGTACATTAAATATTTTGCTATAAAATATACAACAGTTACTTTACAATTTTTTTGTGGTTTTTGTAGTTTTATTGAATTGTGGATCGTCAAATATCAACTCCTTTATTCTTGGCTCATCTTTGTCAGCTGTATTTTATTATTAAGGAAGATAATATATTAAAAATATAACAAATAATTAAAATAGTAAATTGACTAGTCTCTTTAAATTTGAAGAAATGAATTTGAAAAGGATATTTGTGAAGTAATTTGAAAATTCCTGTTCCTACAGGAACTGGAATACCCATTATGATTGATTCAGACACTCCACAAATAACATCTTTTTGACCATAATAAGCTGCATCAAATAGATGATCAGATGTTTTTTCAAACTATTAAACAATCATCTATTAGTATTTTTGTATACGTACATAATATATATTTAAACGTAATATTAAAAAAGTATAAATATATATAACATTTTACCGAAGCTAAATTTAAGACAGATTCCTTCATTTTAGCTAAGCCTTGTCTTGTAATACCCAGTACTTCACCTCTACTAGTCATTAAATCTGCTACAAGCATTGGATGTCTTCGATCAATACTCATTCCATGATTTTCCATCACCAATTTGATTTCTGTCATTATAGTTGCTCTTGCAGCCTCAATTCCTAAAGTTTTGAAAACCTAAAACATCATATTTATATAATGGATAAGTAAATAAAAGTGAATTTTATACTTACCTCAATAGTATTGTTTGAAGTTGTTTTTCTGCCCAGAACGCCAAGAGTTGCCATTACTTCTCGCATATTGTTTCCTTCTACAAACAATTTATACCTTGTTTTACCACTTGAATCATCGTTATGAATTACAGCTCTAGAAACTGATGGTAAACCCTATAAATTATATAATCATAAAGACATATACAGTTTAAAAATTATGGAAGTATATTTATTCATAATGAGTATATTAATATGTATATTTTCCCATTTTACCTTTATAACAATATTTGGAATTGTCTCTTTAAGCTGTGTGAGGGCATAATTTATGCTGTATTTACTTTTGCTTGGATTTACAGTGATAATAGAATCTCCTCTAACATTTACTAATTTTGGATTCAATCTTAATTTTGATGTACAGATCCTATATAAATTATCATTTATTAATTTAATTATTTAGTTGTCAATTAATTAAATGTATACTTATGTAAATTTTTATTACCAAAAAATATATTTTATTTTATGTTGTAAATTTATACACTTACGAATAACGTATGGAGTTAACATCTACTTCTAACTTCAATAATTTTATTCTATCAATATCTAACTTGACCAATAAGAAACAATCATCGGGCAAATAAACTTCTTCAATATATTCTGTCACTTCTCCTAAAGTAGTTTTTTCAATCCTGCCTTTTACTCTTCTAGCATATTCCGGATCTACGTCATTTTCCTAGTAAATGAATCAATAAATAAAACATAACATGTTTATTTTTTCACACACATAGCTATTGAGATGCATTATAATGCATTTAAATGTAGAACTTACTAAAGCTGCTGAGATGATTGGAGTACTAATCTTAGGATTTGCATTAATGATTTCTTTAATACGCGGTACACCCTGAGTAATATTCATAGATGCTACACCAGCGAAGTGAAATGTTTTTAATGTCATTTGTGTACCGGGTTCTCCAATACTTTGTGCGGCAAGTGCACCTACAGCGGTACCTGGTTCTATTTTTGCTTTCATATATTTTTCTTTACAGGTATGAATAAATTCAACTAATTGAGAAACTGTGATTCGTTCGAGTTGGAAAATTACAGGTATATTCGATGGAGCATTATATCGTAGGTGTATTATTTTGCGTGCTACACCTTTAAGGAATGTGCTGCAAAAATAAATAATATTTAATATCTTATTTTCAGTAGTTATGCTTAATACTTACGATAATTCTTGTTTAAATTCTTCACTGAGACATTCACAATCTTTGGAACCTACTAATTCATTTGTAGCTTTAATAAGATCAGGACCGTCTAGTGGTTCTTCATTTTTGCATGACGACTTAGCTGTTACGTGATCCAATACTCTCTTATAATCCACTGGACAATCTTTTCCTATTAAAATAATTGTTTGATTACTTTGTGATCGATATTATAAATAATATCTTACCTTCCATGTATGTAGGATCTAGGCCATCGCCACCATACAATATTTGTACAATATCCCCCACTGAATTACGAACTGTCATATCATAATGAAGGCACAGATCTTCTAAACTCTTAACTAGTCGTCGTTGCATGTAACCAGTCTCTGCAGTTTTAACTGCTGTATCGACAAGACCTTCTCTTCCACCCATAGTGTGGAAGAAAAATTCCGTTGGCGTTAAACCAGAATAGAATGAATTTTCTACGAAACCTTTAGCTGCAGGGATTTTTGAATGTCTTTCAAAGTGTGGTAGAGCTCTGTCTTCAAATCCATTTGGAACTCTATGACCGCTAATAGCTTGTTGTCCCACACACGCTAATTGGAATGAAAATATTACATAACAAAATATTCTTTGTATATATATACACATATGTATATAGACAAGCATACCAATCATTTGAGAAATATTGATAAAGCTTCCTTTACTGCCAGACAATGCCATAATTAATGGACTGTTACTTGGATGGAGTTCTTTTAAACATGCTTTACCAGCATGATCACGAATTACTGAAAGTTCTTTCAATATCATTGCTTCTAATGTTTCTTCCTCTGAACAGCCAGGTTGACATACAAGACGTCCTTCTTCCATTTGACGAATGTATTCTGTACATTTAGAATACCTAAATCATAGTTAAAAAACAAATCTACCTTATTCGTAGATACTTTTATTCATGATATTTAATAATTTACAAAAAAAATGCACATTTACCCGGCATTTAAAAGCTTTTCTTTGGCTTTAAGAAGTCCTTGTCCTGGTGTAACATCTCCAATACCAATAGAAAAACCTCTATTCATAAGAAAGAAACTTGCCATTCTTGCTAGTCGCCACATAGCTATTGTTGCAATATCTTCGCCCCAGTCGCGTAATAGAATATAAAATATATTCTGCTTTGATCCTGAACCTAAAGTCGATTTATCCATGGTTCCTGCTAATAATTCTGAATTCCGGATAATAACATCTGCAATTCATCACTTTCATTATTTTCCTGCAGTTTTAAGGAGAGCAACAAATTATACTACAAAATTATACGTACAAGAATCATTAATACATAATTCCTGATTGCTAGTATAAGCTCTTCCTTTTGTTTTTAAATTAGCTTTAATATTACAAGTACTATTAGGTTTTAAAATTAAACTAAAGATTTGTTTCCCTGTCCATAACATGCTTGGCTTTAAAATAGCTGGTTCAGGAAGAGTTATAGACATGGCAATATCAGGTCCTGCTAGAAGACAACCAGCTAGTTGACTTGCTTGAGCTTTATTTAAAAACATGTCCTTTTGTGTCAGCAGATATCCACCAGTAATGAAATCTTGTGTCGCAGCTATTAAAAGTTCTCCATTGCGAGGAGTAACTAAATTTGATTTATTCTATAAGCAAGTAAATGATAATATCATTATTATAATACTATAATATATATATATATATACACGTTAATATGGAACATAATATAATTCACCCCTTAAGCAGGAAATAATATAACATTTGTATATTACCCCCATTAAAATTAATGCCTCTGCTCTTGCTTCTTCAGTTTGGGGAAGGTGTAAATTCATTTCGTCCCCGTCAAAATCGGCATTATATGGTGTACAAACACACTCATTAAATCTAAATGTTCTGTGATCTAATACTTTTGCTTTATGTGCCATGATGCTTAATTTATGCAACGACGGTTGCCTATTGAATAATACTACATCATCGTCTCTCAGATGCCTTTCGACGATATCACCGTACTATTGAACAAAATGTATATAATTATTTTGCTGCAGTATATGCCGGCCAACATCCACTGCAAATATCCCATTTAGAAAATATAGTCTAAAATGTTTTAACTTGGCACTAACACAAGCGACAATCTAATAGCAGCCCCATCCTTATCTAATCCAAGCCAATATCGACTCATTCTAGTAACTGACATACTGATGATACACATATGCCAATTTCACTGGCAAAAAGACATTCACGAGAAGGAACAATATTACCAGCGTCGGGTTTATACATCTTAGCCTGTATTTTCTAAATAGGTTTGCAATAGTTGAGACCCTCTTAGTTGAAGTCCTCTACTTCTAAGCTTTTCATTAATATACCATATTCCACTATGCACTATATAATTTAGGCTAATTATGACTAATTATTTTGTACATATAAAGTACATAACAACATTTTATACACGTGAAATTACCTGTAAATCTTGAGCAATTTTTTGTCGGTTACCATATTTTAAAAATTTTTTAAATTGTGTTTTCCCTTGTTGTATGAAATTTGCACCTGGATGTATATCTGGACCATTCCTTACAAGTTTTCGCATTAGTTCTATATTTGATGGATTTACTCTTTCAGGATATGTTAAAATTTTGGCAACATGAATAGGTACACCAACCTAATAAAAAATGTAAAATATATATATATATATTCAATTTTATTATTAAATATATATATTATTTAAGTGTTTGAAACAATTTATTTAAATGAAATCTTACTTGCTCAATCCTCAGATTAGGATCTGGTGAAATAACAGTACGACTAGAAAAATCTACACGTTTACCGGATAAATTTCCTCGAAAACGAC